AAAAAAGGCTGATCCGAAACCCCCAGACGGCACGCAGCTTCGGGCGCGAGAAACGGGGTCATGGACACTAAATATTACTCGAATATAGTTATGAACTTAGTAAAAAAGAAGGTAAACTTGGTTCACCAGGAAAAACCTTTGAGTGATTTAGGTCTTTTAAGTTATCGAGCTTATTGGGAAGAAATCATTGTAGGATTTATTTTAGAATGTGTTAGTAAAAATGAAGATGTGAGTATTGATGAAATCGCTCAAAAGACGGCTATTGTTCATGGGGATGTGATGCATGTATGTCAAACTTTACACATGTTAAAATAGTAAGTCAAATTCAATCAAATTCGATCCTTATTAAAATCATGACCTGATTATAGATGACTTGATTTGTTTAGTCATGATAAACAACATGTGATTTGTTTATCAGATGCAATCATTGAAAGACACGAACGAAATCAAAAGAAGAAAAGAAGAAGAATTCAACCTAGTCAATTATGTTGGAAACCACCCGTCTTTTCTAGGGCACAACTTCAATTTGGATTTTAAATGATATATTTATGTGATTTTGTATTGATATCAAGTTTGTAGGCGAGTGATGGCCTTCTCTTTTATGTAATAAAGATGTGTGCTTTGTAAAGCAATATACCCGTTAATTGATGTGAGATCTGGTCTCACCTTGAACATGTATAGAGGTAGGTCTGATAAGCTTTTTAACAGACAAAACCCTTTGGTGTAAGATTCACAGTATTGTGATTCCAGAAAAATATGCAAGGTAGGTTGACCATTAAAACAGTGAGAATTACCCTGATGTCTTACATCACTCTATGTAAATTAACAAAGTATGAATGTGCAGTCATCAGTTCAATGCCATTTTTGTAAAACAATGATAAAACAAATTACATTCTGTTTAATTCTATCCTGATCAACAAAGTAAATCAGTCTCAAATATTTTCAACTTTTACCAATATTGACAAAGTGTATCCTATCATCTACCACAAATGAAGAACCAGGGATTGCTCTCTGGAAAACCTTTTTACAGAGTGAATACCAGTTCTTCACATGAATGAAAACCATAATTTGTGGAAGCCAAGAAGCAACATTTTTTTTAGAAAGAATCAAGCAAGGCCTTTTGGATTTCTAGAGGAGCTCTTGATCAACTTTCAAGAGTACATATTATGAATGAGATGGGGTAGAGGATCAACACTCAAATTATGTAGAAGCAAAACAACAAAGCTTGGAGCAAATTGCATGGCAATTGTCCCAGGCTTTAGTTTGGCAAAGAACTGTTTCCAAGTTGTGAGGTAATTCAGTATCAATGACAAGATGATGGGAGCACTTGGTTGATGTGCATGCCATTGAATTTGAAATCCTAATGTATGATGTTGTACATAGTCAACCCTATACTGCAAGTCCAACAGCCATTGATATGTCATTGCTTCCCTTGCCATCTTCATTAACTCCCAGTTGATCATGCTCATTGGAAGGCCACATCACCACTTGCCATCACCTTCACACCTCACCCACGCTTTCACCATTGCAGGGGACAATGTGGCGGATGAATTCCTGTGATATGAGGTGTTTGTGACGTGGACTGTGGATAGTTACAAAGATCAATAGGTTTTGGTGCAATGAGATTAATATGTTATAGGGGGATATTGAGTGCAAAGCAATTCATACAGATTCTTTTCCTTGCAAGTCCTTGAATTGGGCAAAGCTTTATGTAGCCTGTTTTAGCATAAGTGTAGGACAATGTATGCACTAAAGTATTCCTAATGCGTTGTGAGGCAGCTGGCCGCCTATTGTCTACTCTGATGCAAAGATTTAACATTGACAAGACAAGATCCCGTGAATGAACCAACTGATGGCGTATTGCTAATTAAGCACATGACTTTGCTTATGAAACTTTTGTTTGCACAGAGGGTCCTTAATTTACATGCAGAAATCATTCTAGTCAGAAATCAGTAGAAGGATCACAACTCAAGGTGTAAGACATTTGAGAAAATCTGTCCGACAATGAAAAACCAAATCTTTGACTGGTTTTTGGCAATGAAATTTGTTCAGAGATTCGTTTCCTTCAGGCGTTCAAAAATACCATTTTTGAGGGTCTTTTTTCACAATGAATGAATTCATCAAGTCTTTTTACAACAACACATGTTTCTCAGCCGATTAATGAAAATTTACGACTTTTCTTATAAAAAAACTAGAAAACCCATGTGACAAGAACGGAAACGTTAGGAACATGGGGTCTTTCTAAGCAGGGTCTATAGGAGATCCCCGGTTCCCAGTGTCAGAATGTATGTGGCAGTCTCATTCGATGAAATGTTTGTACAGCCGCAGATACGGAGCGAGCTTAACTGAGCTTTTGTTGTGAGGGTTTTCCTTTTTGTGAAGCCTTCGGCAAGGCATTCAAAACTGGCAAGAATCTTGCGCTTCTCTGGAAGATGAACTGACTCCTAGAGTTGTTTATATAAGAAAACCTTCGTTTACGACAACGTTTGCACCATCTTCATACTTTTATATTCACTTCAAGTTCCTCTCCGTTTTCTTTCACCAGCCAGACTTGTATCCACAAGACAGTCTTATCTAGTCCATTCAATCTTGAATTCCAGTTACTTACTCAAATTTTCAATATGAACTCATTCATTCTTATCGGCGCTCTTCTTCAATGTTTATACGTCATGGCAACACCTCAAGGCTACCAACACTTGGAAGCTCGCCAGGCGGATGCTCTTGCACCGGTCACGATCGGATCGGTCTATAGACGCGCCACATCCCCGCCAAACTTGATGACATGTCAAAGTGGTTTGGACAAGAAAGTTGTCAATTTGCAGGATTGCAAAAAGTCAGTTCATGAAAATGTTCCATGTTTTCAATTTGATCTAATCCAAAATCTTACCTTTTATTCACTCATCAGGGTTGCCACTTACATGGCATCGCACAAGTTGCCGTGCGCTAATTACAAGTCTTGTGCCGTAAGTAAAAAAATCCCCTCATATGCCATATATCGTACTGCCACTGACCGACTCGCTGGATTTCTTAGTTGATGACGAGGGCCAGCATCGGCCAGCCACAGGCAGTCCAAGTGTAAGTACTCAACACCGCCGCCTCACATAGCCTGATATATATAAGGGGGTCATTGACTCAACCTATGGGATTTTCTAGAACGTCCTCCACCGAACTTAGGTATTCCTTCTCCATGTATTTCGACGAATCTTGTCAAGTTACTCGTCAAGTGAAACCGGTAAGCCAATATTTTTGTTCTGCACGGCGGGATATTTTTGACTGAATTTTTCACAACTTTGTCCTACAGCGTTCGAAAGACTTCCCCGAGACCGTCGACAGTAATTTATATCTCACCGCAGGTATTTGTGCTGTTGGAGACCCCACTTGTCCTACTGGTGAACAAGTTACTACTTGTTCTCCTGAGGTCTCAGCCTTCTTGAAAGACTTACCATTGGCTGCATAGTAAATTGAGATCACATGTGGCAATATCTCTTCTCCCGAAATTCCTTTGGATTCTGATTTCACTTCCTCTGTAGTATTGTCATTGTGAAGGAGACAAGACATTCATAGCTTTTTTACTTGTGTTTTCTTGATATCAATTGACACAGACAATGCATTCTTTGGTTTCCCTATGACTTCTTTTTGGACAAGTTGACAAATTTAAGAGCATCACATTGGCTAATTGATGACCTTAAAACAATATGAGATGTAGCGATGCTGTTCATCATTGATCAAATTGATCAAGCTTGACTGTTCTTAGCCTCCACTTCGGATTAATCATGCTTATGGTGAATCTTGATCCTCTAATACACTTTTATCAGTTTCGTTTCATCCCGTCTTTTCAAAGGATTCCGAAGAGAGTCCAGTGAAGACGACTCAAAGGATAATTCATGCTACTAAGCTAGTAGGGTAAACGCAAAACATAAATCCCCGTGCATATGTCTTTTGAAGAAGATGCGGAAAGACACCTATGAAAAATAACACCATGCTACCTTACCGTTTGAGCTGTTGGCTTCATCCATCCCAAACTGCCTTTCAATCACACCAGTCTTCTTGGTATGCAGTTTGCCTGAGACTCTGAGAGTTTATCTCATTTGACCATCACAACAAACTCCTCGGGCGCCCTCTTCGGTTTGATTGAAAGTTTTCTCTGACAGTCAGGACTGGGAAGTGAAGGAATATAGAGTTTTATTCTGATAATTTGGTTGGCATCATAGCACGTGATCGTTTG